AGAAGAAGAAGAAGAAGAAGAAGAAGAAGAAGAAGAAGAAGAAGAAGAAGAAGTTACACTTAAATCACTTCAACAGAGTATTTTATATAGCCCAAAAGCATTAATAAGAGCTTTGCGATTCATTTTGCGATTCATTCATTACTGCGTTAATTTTTGAACATTTCTAAATTGCATTCCGAAGAACTTGATAATGGTAGCTCTACTAGATCTATGTTCTTTCAGGTCTCTTTCTTCTCCGTTGCATGAAGTAGACGTGAGCTCGATGCTGCATGCCCATGTTTTGGTTTAATCTTTTGTCTTGGATTTTGGTTTTGTTTTTGGGGTTTTTTGGGGGGTTTTTTGTTTTTTTTTTGGTTTCTTATGGATTGGTTTTAGTTTTGCTATGCAATTTTACCGAGTGAATACATGTATCTTCCGGAGTTGTTGTATTCATTAAGTTCAATTTGGCTCTGACAGGCAGGGTCGTTGGGGTCGGCCATCCAAATAATGAAGATTGTGCAGATGAGGGCGTAAAATATCATAAGTGGTTAGACAATTTGTTTGTATGTAAGCGTTTTATGCCACCATCGACACGATTTAGCAAATTTATGATGCAGGCGGAGACCCTTACGTGTTAGCGGAAGCTTGGTTTGAGAGGGATACAACGTCCCAGCAGAAAGACACAGATTGCTTTTATATCTTTGAATAGGATTGAACAGGAGGACCAATGATATCTCACCTCGAACAAAGCTGACGATCTTCAACTCTATACTGTGAAGTCGATCTTTTTTGTATGGATGTGAGGCAAGGAACGCATCTCAGACTTGCATGAAGAGGACTCATGTTTTCTTGAACATGTGTTTAAGGAAGTTAGTAAGATTCAGATGATGGATAGACAGGGTTACCAACGAGGAAGTGTTAAGGAATACAAGACAGAGCCCAGTCAGAGATGAGGTGGGAAGAAGGCGGTGGCGATGGATTGGGCGTACTCTTAGGACGTCACGCAGCTGCATTGCAAGGAAAGTGTTGGATTCGAACCCACATAGTAAAAGATCAAAGGGAAGATCACGCGGAACCTCAGAAGAGTCACGTACATTGATGTACAGAAAATTGATTATCCTGATCCAGGGTGAGAAAGGCAATGATGATGATGACGATGATGATGATGATGACGATGATGATGATGATGATGATGATGATGATGATGATGATGATGATGATGATGATGCAAACGGAGATCCTACGTGTTAGTGGCAGCTCGGTTTGAGAGGGATACAACGTCCAAGAAGAAAGGACCTAGATAAAATTTCCTCACCCCAGAATCGAAGTCAGGTTTTTTTGCGTTCGACGCCAAATCCAACAATACAAACTGTTAGTTGCTAGTAACTTATCAAAAGCCACGAGTCCGAGATAAGCTATTATCTATATTATTAGCTTCCAATTTCCCTGGAATCAGCGATGAAAAGGGCAGGATAATAGTTGAGCTGGAGAGGGAGGAGAGAGATAGTTTCTCAAATGGCGCGTTTAGAATGTGAATAAAAGTGGAGGCGGAAAGGTTGAGTGTGCGGACACAGTTTTGAGAGCAATTGCCTCCTGTCTTGTGGGTTGTCAGTGGATGACAAAGGCTAGCAGAGCAAAAACTGTACACAAACTAGCAGCCGGTAACTGGAAACCACTGCTGTAATTTCCGAAGAAAAATCATATAACATTGTAATTTCCCAAGAAAATTAGGAGATAGCACTGTAATTTCAAGGGAGAGATATTATGTTTGGCCAACCACGATCGCCAACGCCTGTTTCAGATATTCAAAAAATTATCTCTCAATGATGATGATGATCATTTGATGATAATCAAAATCATCACCATCACCATCACCATCATCATCATCATCATCATCATCATCATCATCATCATCATCATCATCATCA